TACCCATATGGCGTCGTGTCCCTTTACCGTCCTTGGAAGTTTGGTGACGAAATCCATCGTGATCATATCCCACTTCCATACTGGGATCTCCATTTGTTGCAACATTCCAGATGGTTTTTGGTGCTCGGTCTTCACCTTCAAGCATGTCAGACATTTCCCCACATAGCTAGCTACTGCCCTCTTCATACCATGCCACCAGTAGCTTTCTTTTATGTTTTTGTACATCTTATTACTACCTGGATGCATAGTATATTTAGACTTATGTGCTTCGTCCATCACTACATTTCTTAGATCTCCTAAACTAGGAATCCAAACCCGATTCCTATGTCTATATATTCCATCTGGTCTGGCTGTCAAGGTCTTAATATGTCCAATCATTCTCTTCTTTTTGATATTCGCTTCAAGTAAAGCTTCCTTCTGGACATCCCGTATTCGGTCTAGGAGCTCCACCTTAACATTCATCTACATGGCTCGAACCCTGATCGGTCCGCTTTTCTCCTTCCTACTAAGTGCATCGGCGACTACATTTGCCTTACCTAGATGATAGTGAATCTCACAATCATAATCCTTAAGTAGTTCCATCCATCTTCTTTGTCTCATATTTAGCTCCTTTTGATCAAATAAGTACCTAAGGCTCTTATGATCCGTATAAATTATGCACTTCGTACCGTACAAATAGTGTCTCCAAATTTTTAGCGCGAAGACAACAGCCGCTAATTCCATGTCGTGAGTTGGGTATTTCTTCTCGTGTTCTTTCAACAGACGAGACGCATATGCAATGACCTTTCCTTGCTGCATTAGTACACAACCCAAACCCATCTTTGATGCATCGCTATAAACGACAAAATCTTCTACTCCTTCCGGTAGTGCTAAAACCGGTGCAGTGCTTAGTCTCTCTTTAAGTGTCTGAAAAGCTTCTTCTTGTTTCGTCCCCCAATCAAACTTAACCGACTTCTTTGTCAGTGTTGTCAAAGGTGTTGCTATTTTGGAGAAATCTTGGATAAACCTTCGATAATACCCCGCTAGGCATAGAAAACTTTGGATCTCCGTTACTGACTTTGGTGATTCCCAGTTCATCACCGCATCAATCTTAGTCGGATCCACCTTGATCCCTTCCGTATTAACTATGTGAGCGAGAAATTGTACCTCATGCAACCAAAACTCGCATTTTGAGAACTTGGCGTACAATTTCTTCTACCTTACGCTGACTACCGTCGGTTGTTTCTACAGTGTAGGTTTTGTCTAGCCTACGAGCACTGCTATTCAGATAGTGGCAGAAAGTGGTAGACACAAAACTACCATTTGCACCCGAATCAAATAACACATGTGCATACACATTGTTGATAGGGAACATACCAGATACGACGTCGGGTGTTTTCTTTGCCTCTTCCAAAGTCATGTTGTAAGCTCGGCCGTGTCCTTTAGGCAGTTCCTTCCTATTTTCCGCTCTCTTCCCGAATCCGTTGTTCACTGTCTTCCCGTGAGGTGTCACACCATTGCGATGTTTTGGACAGTCAGGACGCAGATGTCCCGTAGCCCCACATTCGTAACAAGTCCTTCCTTTCGGGCACTCTCGTGCGGTGTGCCCCGGTTTGTCACATTTATAGCACGTCAGGCTCCCTGCTCTGCACTCTCCCTTATGCCTCTTGTTGCATTTGTTACATTGAGGAATAGAGAATCYCTCGCTTCGTGTTTTTGCCAAAGTCGGAGTCCATTTTGGCTTCTTGTCGGACTTGTTCGATCCTTCCCATCTTCTMTTTGCATCCCTTCTATCATGGTTCTCCCTAGCGTTGTTCTCTTCTGCTACTTTTGCCATTTCTACTGCTTGGACAAACGTGGTCGGCTTGGTCATGTCCACGTAACGTTTGATTTCGATACTTAGGCCATCCTTGAAATGACCTATCTTTCTCTCCTCGGTAGCCACCTGGTAACTGGCGAACCTCGCTTTTTCAAGAAACTCGTTAACATATTCTTGAACTGACAACGATCCCTGCTTTAATCTCAGGAGTTTGGATTCTAGCTTGTTCACCTCCGTTTGCGAGCAGTACCTATCCATCATCGTCTTTTTCATTTGTCCCCAAGTCATGGCAGCAATATCCTCATCACCTCTGATT